CTGCAAGTTGTTCAACTACTCTTACAAATTGGAAACTGGAAAATTGCAACAGTACAACCAGTTCCTGAAAAAGGCAAAAAGACCCTACCTAGCAACTACAGACCGATCGCACTGCTATCTATTATTTCAAAGATCATGGAGAAAGCTATCAACATCGAGCTCATGAGATACCTGGAACATTCAGGTATTATCAAGGATAGGCAATATGACTTCAGTCATCAGAGATCAACTGGTACCTGCTCGCTTACGTCTCACATATATGGCAGCAATCTATTGAAAAATATGGTGAAACCCGAGGTGAAACCTTAGCCGTGGCACTTGATATCTCCAAGGCATTCGATCAAGTCTGGCACCACGGACTCCTCGCCAAGCTTCCATCTTATGGCTTGCCTCCCCAGCTATGTTCTCTGCTAGCTAGCTAGTTTTCTCTCAAACAGGTCTCTCCATGTAGAGGTCGACGGAGTTTCATCTGACTCTCTCATCATGAAAAATCAAAATTGGTGACTAAAACCATGGCCCATTCGATTCAGTATATTCAGAAACGGCCTTCTCGATATCCATTATTTATATTAGACTATTAACTCGAGACGTTTTCGAAAATTCACCTCTAATTGAAATAAAGGATGAAAATTTTCAATTCAAACTTGTTTCTGATATCGATGATGCTCATCAACTGATTTCCAATATTTATTGCCCAAGTATGAGACACAGAGTATTGTTGTTCAATATACTGCGTGTTTCACAACTTATCTGATAAATTACGAACTCTAGAAAACAATAATGTTAGAAGAATTTGGTGGCCAGCATTATCTCCAGATCTGAATTTGATTGAACATGTGTGGAGCCGAATGAAACTCAACCTATCGAGAAGGCAAGAGGCACCTCAAAGTAATGACAACCTTATCCAAGCTGTATCAGAAGAATGGGAGGCAATATCAATAGACTTCATCAACAACCTCATAGAATCTATGCCAAACCGATTTCTTGAGGTTTTGTTAAATCTTGGAGGCTCTACTAAGTACTGAAATTTAGAATATAAGACTTGCTAGTTGGATCTTCATAATGCTGAAGAATTCACTAATGTCATATTTCGCCAATAGAGCCCATTCCGAATAGTTTTAGTGGATATAAAGTGTTATAAATTTTATTTTCCATCTCGTTTCACTTCTATGAAATTTTTATATGATAGACTTCTTATGTAATATCGTAGTTGTGGTTGAAATTTGTCAGATAAGTTGTGAAACACTAAGTATATTGAAGAAATTATACTCTGTGTCTCATACTTGGGCAATAAATATTGGAAATCAGTTGATGAGAATCATCGATAGCAGGAAACAAGTTTCAATCGAGAATTTCAGAATTTCCATCCTCTAATATAAATAATGCATATCGAGAAGGCCATTTCTGATAATACTGTATCGAATGGGCCATGATTGTATTCACCGTTTATGATTTTTTCACTGAATTGAGATTTTGTCCTATTTTCTAGTCATCCTGAAGATTCTACAATGGTGCTTTTTTCGTCTTTCATTGTCCTCCACAAAACATGAGAACAGTTCTTCCCGATATTCAGCTCAAGTGGGGTTCTCGAAAAAAAATTCAATCTTTGTTTCAATGGCCAATTGAGGAGAAATCACGAAAACGTCCCGAGATGAGGTCCCAGTGTATCATAATATGACTGATTTTTGATCAGAAAAAAAATTCTCGAGTTCTGGCAGCATTGGAAACGTAGACCATAGTGTAATGGTTCCACTTCACACCCTGTGTATGTTTTGTTCTGCGGACTTTTTCAGAGTGTTCTAGCTCTCTTTGAAGCCGATGAAATATCACATCTGATATCGAAAACCCCATGGAGATCGGTCAATTTTTTCAAAAAATACAGGTCTTCGAAATAAAATCAAATTATGAGTGGTCCACTGTATTTTTGTTCCTTCAATCTGTGGTTGACATCTATCTACGTGAATACGAAACACCTTGTATTACATGCACCCTCGCCTCCCAAGACGGCACCCCTGGTGCAAATTGAATGTGCCTAGATTCGTACGTGTGTGAGATCATCGATCGACGCATGCGCCTCGTCGGCCAGGGTGCAGTTCGCTTTTCTCGGGAAGGTCGGAAAATTCACACCTACGCGAGGTTTTCCTCTCGGTTTTCCTCTCCGGGGCTCGGCCGACGCAGTTTCGCGAAAAGATGGCCTAGCAGAAGGTACACCCGTCATCGTCCTTGAAGCAACATAGCAGCATTTTCCACCGATCAAGGTAACGGATTTTCCCGAGGATTTTCCTCTGTTTTCCTTCTCGATAAGGGTTCACAGGTAGTGTCATCATGGCAACGTCAATATATCCGCAGACTGTAGAGCTCATATATATGTTTTTGTTGGTAGTTTTATAGAGTCATAATTTCATTGTGAGTTGCTGGAGGTGATTTTTTGATAAATGAATATTCATTTTTGTACCATCAAGGTTGTAGAGAGGTTGAATGAAAATGAAATATGAGGGCGAATCAGCTGATTGAAGTAGTAGACTGAAAAAAGGTACCTATACATTGAATTCCTCCATTAAATATTCACCATCCGATTTTGTTTTTTTTTTCTAGTACTGTAATCCTGTATAGATTCATTAGTTATGGATTATTGATTTGTTTGGGGTGAAGAGATTGAATTTCTAATTCTTGTTTGAAGCAAAAAATAACCGAAGAAAGACGATGTTATTTTCATACCGTATATATGATAATGAGTTCGTTAGCAAAACTTATCGTTCACATAATTATGAATTCAATATCATTATTTCAGGAAAATATATTCAAAAGAATCAAAAATTAGTTCTATAGAATTCTTATACAGGGTGATTCACATAAGAACCGACATAGAGCAGGGGCATGTAGGGGGTCCCAAAATATGGCAATTTAACGCAACTTACCTCTATACCAAGTTGCTTTCCTAAGGAGATATAGGCTTTGAAAGTGAAGTTATAAATTTTGAAAAAATCAATATCTTCGTTATTTTTGAACTTAAAGCAACCAAATTTGTTACACTTTGTGGGTGTATTTAGGGCGTTACTTGACAGTAACTAGAGTTTGATTGAAATTTGTAAAGGGGGTATACCGGGTGGCGCACCATCAATATTCAACATAATTTTGTTATCCCTTGATGGATATCGAAAATCTTTGCTTTGTTTTGTGGGCAATTCAATTCTAAAACTTTTCTTACTCTAGTAATTTTTCGAAAAACCTCATCATTTTCATCAAACACTCGAATAACTGAAAACGTGCGCTCTAGGTGTGTTATTTAAAATCATCGAAAATTCAAAAGTTGGCTATGAAAATAAACGTCAAACTTGACAATGAGGCAAGTGAGTTGTTCAATTAAGTAATTGTTGTTTGAGTGTTTTTAAAATAAACGGGAAGTTTTCTTTAAACGAGCAAGTTGACATGCTGTTAGTGCTATGCCTATAACTCCTTAGGGAAGTCACTTGGTATAGAGGTAAGTTGCGTTAAATTGCCATATTTTGGGACCCCCTACATGCCCCTGCCCTATGTCGGTTGTTATGTGAATCACCCTGTATATTTAAATGTTCTCTATTGTGTGGCACTATGCAATGAACATTTTTCTGTGTCATCCTGTATACTACGACAATACAGGGTGTTTCAACATTGAATGTCAATACTTAGGGAGGCGAGATTCTTGGGCCCATTCTAAGAAGAAAGTTTCACATGAACGTATGACCTAATCGTCCTAACTTTTGAGATACAGGGTGGTGATGAAACTTGGCGTACAATGTATCAAGAGGCATCAGTTAATGTACCACATTTCAATTTGGCTGCCACCAGTGGCGTTCGTATGGTATTTCACATACCTATTTTGGCAGACATTGATGGTACGCCACTGATTAATCTCGAAATGAAATCATACCTGAAATTCCCAATCATTTCTAAACAAATTTGATCATCACAATTTTTTCAATCTGATGCACAGTTTTCGTACAAAAAAATTAAAAGCTTTTCACTACATGATTATAGCAATACCGTTAATATAACAATATCACAATGCAGAGAAATAGGATTTATTTTTTACATCAAATTTCAGAAATACAATGCATAGTTCATGAACTTTATATTCGTATTTGGTATGTTGGAATTATAACTTTTCATTGTAGTAGTCTATATTAATTTTTGACAACTTCACCACCCTGTATCTCAAAAGTTAGAACGTTAGAAGTTAGAACTGTTGGATATTTGAATTGAATAATTCAAATTTTTAGGAGCATTTTGATCCAAAACCGAGACTATCGAGACCAAGACCAAGACTACATTTATTTTTCGAGTATAAGACCAAGACTACTACGTTAGTTCTCTCCAAAATGTGAACTGGTGCATTCCCAATGGAATACGAAATAATATAATGAAATTTTATTGTTGGAGGTTAAATCGGATAAATTGGTTTGTCATTGTTTATAACTTGTCCGTATCCTGAAATTCTTTCTCGACTTCAATTGATAACAAAGTGGATGTTTCATGAAAATAATTCTGAGCAGTTTTTTCAATAAGAACCTCTTCATCATTCAATTTCAGGGCAAAGCACAAAATTATGAATTCTGGGAAGTAGCCTCCTTTATTTTCTTGAAACCTTCAAATTTGATGATGATGAGGAATAGGATTTATTTTTTACATCAAATTTCAGAAAAACAATTCATAGTTCATGAACTTTATATTCGTATTTGGTATGTTGGAATTATAACTTATTATTGTAGTAGTCTATATTAATTTTTGACAACTTCACCACCCTGTATCTCAAAAGTTAGAACGTTTAGGTCATACGTTCATATGAAACTTTCTTCTTAGAATGGGCCCAAGAATCGCCTCCTCGAATATTGATATTCAATTATGAAACGCCCTGTATAAGTGCATTTGGAGTGGCAGCTTCGAGTGCACCTGAACTGCGCTAATCCACAAATGTCGTTAATCTCTCCATTTCGTTACAATACCTTCTCTTTTCCTTACAGCCAAACCCACCGAATCACCATGGAGCTGATCATCGTCCGAGGCAAAACCTAAACCATCCCCTCACCCCTCGCGATGGGCACGGACAGCGCCGAAAAATCCAAACACAACCCCGACGCGGACAATCTCAAGTCCCTCCTCAAGAAACCTCCCGGCAAAAGGGAGGCCAAAAGGCAGAGCAACAGGTAGTGTAAAGAAAAAATCGGATCCATTCGATACAATTTCCAAGAGTCCAGTTTAAAGACCAAGACCAAGACTTGACTTTCGAGACCAAGACCAAGGCTCTCTCCCAAGAGTCTTGGTCTTGAAAGATAAATTATGAACTTAAATCTACTCAATATCTAATAAAAATCTGATGGAAAATGTGATGGAATTTTATTTCAGTTATTTATTTGTCATATGGTAGGTTTTTAAATTTTTGTTTACTCAAAATCCGAAATAAATGTTTCAAATTCAGTATTGCAGTTGCAAAGTTTACAACAAATAGGTGTATGTTGTAAGGTCTCAATGGTCCATATACCTCCTCCCCCTCCTCCTATTGAAGATAGAAACAAATTTAATACAAAAGTTATTTGATTTGAATTTGAAATTTTTTAAAGTCTTTTTATTAATGCGTTGTTGTCAGTTCCGCCTCTTTTGAACCTTTTTCTGGCCTTTCTTGGGAATTATAATCTTATCGTGAAAGGAGGAATTTATTTCGCTTACTTTATACGCACAAATTGGCAATTTTAAAGACTGATAAATATGAAACACCTATTATATGCATAAAAACTGTTGCATATTTGAATTGAATAATTCAAATTTTTAGGAGCATTTTTATCCAAAACCGAGACTATCGAGACCAAGACCAAAACTACATTTATTTTTCGGGAATAAGACCAAGAGTTAGACTACTACGTTTAGTTCTCTCCAAAATGTGAACTGGTGCATTCCCAATGGAATACGAAATAATATAATGAAATTTTATTGTTGGAGGTTAAATCGGATAAATTGGTTTGTCATTGTTTATAACTTGTCCGTATCCTGAAATTCTTTCTCGACTTCAATTAAAAACAAAGTAGATGTTTCATGGAAATAATTCTGAGCAGTTTTTTCAATAAGAACCTCTTCATCATTGAATTTTAGTGCAAAACACTCAACAAAATTATGAATTCTGGGAAGTAGCCTCCTTTATTTTCTTGAAACCTCCAAATTTGATGATGATGATTAGATTGCCACTCAATTTTGGTTTTTAAGCTATATGCATATTCAATGTTTCCGCCATTTTCAAAACTGCACTGACTTCGCACGACTTATTAGAGCTCGTGCGAGAATTGTTGCACTGAGCTCTAAACTATGTGAACCAGTTCTCCAATGGAATTCAAAACCCGACACCAGTTTTATCAATGAAATACAAAATATGTACTCAGTGCGAGCCAGTTTTACCAATGGAATGGGCGTGTACACCTTAGTAGAACTTTTAACTCAAACCATGTTTATAATGATCCTTTTATACATAAATAATGATTGACGCCATAATTCAATCGAAAAATTAACTGGAATGTTTTATTTTTAGACATAAATAATAGCACCTTTTGAAAACGGATCCTCTTATGACGTAGAAACATCTCGCCATAGTTAAAAGAAAATACCAAACGCCTGACAGAGACTGAGGCAACTGATATATTAATTCTTTCAACTGTGATCTCGCGCTAATTCACTCTGTCAGAAATCATGTATCATTCATCTCTGTCTGGAATAGTCTTGTTTCAGTATTAGGGTTTTGACGTCACATCATCGCCTCGTTTTCAGAGGTCCGAAAAATCTGGAATTTCAATAATTTTTAATAAAACGTAGGGAGCTCACAGCAAGAAACGGTTTGCGGTGGTGAGCTAGTTTGGGTGAGTTCTATCGAATTATGAAATAATTTTTTTTTGTCGACAAAGTCGAAATGTCGTGGAGATAACGCCAAAAATTTCATCGGGCAGTATAACAGTCCCCACCTCTGAAAAAACACCCTCCTGCACGAGTTCTCCTCTCCTGATCCAGGGTGGTCTTCAACGAGACCAAAAACGAATTCTTCGACGCCGACTACATCATCCTCATCCGGGAAGAATGCGACTTCGAGGAGGACGACGAAGACGGCGTCTGCACGTGCTACCAGCACGAGATGGTGAGGCTCACGTGCTGCGAACCGGACTGCGACTGCTCGGCCTACGAGGACCAGCAGGAGAGGCACCCGCAGGCAAGTACCCATGATGATGGTGCTAACCGAAATTGCCCCCACCCAGTTAGTTAACTTCCATGCCAGATGGAAAAAATAACAAGAGCAAATATAAGGTCGACCGTATAGTATTTATTGAAATCATATACTCACCGGCAAAAAACCGATTTTTGTGAAATTTCGGTCAAATCATAGATTCATATGTTCCGGAATGTTAGCCTGGACGTTCTATCCGTCATTCGGTTGCCCCCTTACGAGCAACCCTCAGAAGTCTGCACGGCACGGCTACCTGGTCTCTAGGAGAGAAAACTGTTTTTTTCAGATGAATTACATCCGTCAGAAACAAATTTGTCCAGATCCTCTACATACTTTTTTTGTAGTTCAGTTGCCATTTTGATTAAATTTCCATCCTCTGCTGACACTATGTTCATAGATCTATGCTATGTTGAACAGAAAGTCAAATGATTCTGAACAAGATTTGTAGGTGGAAGTCCGACAAAAAATTTCAAATCTGCAACTTAAAATAAAACACTGTGTCCGCCATTTTTCTGTCTGGTTTGAACTTTTTGCCGTATTTTTTCTCTTTATTGTGCTTTCCTTGGGATGATTCACTTCTTAACATAAATTTCAGTTTAGGTAGTGTAGGGATCAAATCTTTCGCGTAAAAAATCAGAATATCCAGATAATAACTGATGACAAAAGATGTCCAGTTGTATTTTCATATAGCCGCCCTGAAGATTTTGCCGCCTGGTGCTATAGCACCCAAAAGACCCCTGGTAAAACCGGCACTGGTTGTACCAGACATTTTTGAACGATTGAAGGGTTCAAAATTGATAGGGAATCTCAGGAAATTTTCACTACAGGAAGCATTTGAGGAGTTTTTAATCTGCAATTCTGTATCCTTATAATTCCCTTGTTTGTCTTGCACTGTAACTAGTGAAACTGTTGAATGTGTAGTTTTCAAGACTTTTTAGATAAAATTATGTTTTTATGGAGAAGTCACTCTGCTACCTCAATGTATGACATTTGTCCTGTGTGATTTGTGTGATTGATTGATTGATTTATTGGATTCAAGTTCTGGTTATAAAAACTCTTGCTTTCCCTTAGAGTCCCAAATTCGCGCCCCCCATCGAGTTCGTCGACGCGGTCACTCTAAGCCCCCCCGAGGGGTACAAGGACATGGAGATGGTCGAGCAGGAGATGGCGGCCATCAAGAAAATGGCTGCCAGGAGGGGCGGCAGCGGAGGCGGCCAGTCGCAGCAGCAGAGGACTGCGGTGTGCAGGGAGTGCAGTGCCAATCAGGAATTTGAAACTGACAAAGGTGAGTTCAAGTCAAGCGGTGTTATATCATCACAACAGTGCTGCTGTATACATTCTGATATAATTGTTAGATGCGAACCAAATGCAGCAGCAAGGGTCCTGGCAAGATCCAATTTTTTCAATTTCATATGCTATCTTCGGTGTGAAGAAAATGAGATTGTTCTCTTATTATCATCATCGAAATACCAGGAATATCACTACTGTCAACCTATTCATGAGAGAACTATTAGATAATTGTAATTTTCTAGAATAATTGCTTGAAACTCGATAATTAATCACTATGGAACTGAATAACTAACTTCTTACGATATCTTGTCATCACCTCACTTTCTGCCTCTTTATAATATTTTTTTTTAATTTACCGCCCTACTGATGATCACATCACATGTTGTGTCAAAATCGATTTTTTTCGATTCTCTGATAATGAACTTTTTCCCTATACTATGTTAAAGACTTCATGGATTACCCTGTATATCAACACTATAGTCAATATGAGGTGTATATAGTATATATCCTAAGAATAGTGGCGTGGAAATCACACCCTCACAATTTTTTCTGTAAATTTTTGAGTTAACAATTATTTTCAAAAAAGGACCATATACAGGGTGTTCCTTGAAGACATGCTAATATTTGAGGGCATGAGTGATTCTCTGACCCATTTTAAGAAGAAAACTTCATGTGAACGTATGTCCTAAAAGTCTTAACTTTTGAGATACAGGGTGATGAAGTTTTGGAAAATATTCAGTTTTTTTATGATAGCTAAGACAATATTATATACATCTGTATGAACTTTGGTACACGTCTTTTATGCTTCAAGAAGTACGAAGATTTTCATTTTCCCTACCAATAATGGCCCGTTACGGGAAAATTATTGTTTAAATTTTAGTTAAAAGTGAGCAACGACGAAAATTTTCAAATTTCATACAATGCTATAGAAGGCTATTTAATTATGTACAAAAAAGATCCTCCTGCTGATACTCGATAGAACGCCTTGTTTTCGAGAAAAAACGGAAAAACGAGACCATGCAGACTTCGAATTTTGATGTTTGAATACTCCATTCAGGACATCCATTACTGGATAACCACCGTATGTAACATTTTGAAATTTGTATACCGATTCAGTCACATAGCAGACTGAATGTTGCCATCACGAAAAGCTATACATGGTGGTCAAAAAATAATCTATGCATATTTTCAACATTGACACCCTGTATAGTATTTGGTCTTTTCATCATCACAGTATCATTAGATGAAGAATATGACTGATTATAAAAATCAGTTGAGTACTCCACTCCTCCCGCAGTATTATAACATTACATTTCATGTGAAATATTGACGAGATGAAGTTCCGAAGCAAAAGTACTTACATCGATTCCGAAGAAAAACTATCGTCAAATAAACTTCGATGTACAAAATACCGAACGATACGATAAAAAATTATGAAGCCATAAGCACTCGGCAAACAACATCAAACTTTCCAGCACTACAAGCTGAAATTACACCAGGGACCTAAACTAGCCCCTCTCCTCTTTTCCACCCCCTTGGACCCACCCTCACCAAACCCCGATGATTCTCGCCCGAGCGGCAAGAAAACAAAAACCAACAAAACTTCCGTTTGTTTTTTCACTCGTCCAATAAAAGCACTTTCAGTCCCAATCAACTGTCGTCGAAAAGTCGAACTGGCCTGAAGCTAAGGAGATGCTCTACCGGAAGATACGAGTAATAAAATCAAAAGGAATCAATGAAAATAAACTTGGGAACTCAAACATTTGAGAATACTTTATGCAATTCACAACCAAAAGCCGGCATGTTTTTTTTTTGAAAATCCATGATATTCAAGAATAGTTTGGTGTGCAAGAACTTTTATAATTTGAATTTGAGTTTCTGAATTTTGTTCAATTTTTGTTTTTTACAAAATGAACCCGAGCTAAATCGGTCAATATCCGTTTGCATCCGCATGCTTTTATTTCTTATTTTGAAAAGTCCATTGCTTTACATAGATATAGTGAACATTTTGAAATTCTGAAATAAATCTCAACCCTTTCACTGTTTTGGGAAGCACAGACTTTCATTGCTTTTTCTTCTGTAACAAACTGTTGGTCTATCTGAGGATTACGGGATAGGTCGTAGGTTTTTGGAAAACCTTTCAGTGAAATACTGTCTGTAGGTTAATCGTTTCTATAAAATAAAAATATGAATATTATTTCAATATACGTGTAGTAAGGACAAATCAGATGATTTGCCCCAAAATGTCACTGCGTTTAAAGAATTTTTCTATCAGAGAGCCTGAAAGAAAAATTCACCAGCTTGTCAGTGACAATTTGGTAAATGAAAACATCCTGTAACTCATTTGATTGCCAACGTCACCAATTGTCATTGAAAACTGAAAAGCTTCAAGACATATTATACGACTTCGCTATTGAAATAATCTCTATTCATGTTGAAAACGGGAGCAGAATCGGTCCCGAAACGTCCAAAGATAAGTGAAAATTTGATATTTTTTCTATATACCTTTATTTCTCTTCTCCAAAATTTTTTCAATACAAATTGTCACTGACAAGCTGGTGAATTTTTCTTTCAGGCTCTCTGATAGGAAAATTCTTTAAACGCAGTGACATTTTGGGGCAAATCATCTGATTTGTCCTTACTACACGTATATTGAAATAATATTCATATTTTTATTTTATAGAAACGAGGAGAGAAAATCCCAAAAAATTTGGAATAATGACTTTACAGTGAGATTGAAAAATGAGTGTTTTATTCTGTTTCTCGGTCACCTTAAATTATCCCATCTCATGTCCAACAGATTGTTCTCGAGGGTGTGCTATGTACCTCGAGTGCTAATAGTAATAATTGCTATCGATTACACAAAAAAATTGAATTAGTTCCAATACGACCCTTTTCAATTGCGAAGCGAAGGAACCTTTCCAATCTGGAGAAATCGTTATGGCTTTGTACACGAAAACTAGATGGACGACGATATTTTGTAGGGAATTGGATAACCTTTTTGTGGTCCTTCCGATTCGAGATCCGAATCAGCAGTTAAGTTTATTATGGAACTTAAATGGCCTGTCGCGCCAGGAAGCAAACATGTCCTCCTCTATCCACAAAAAGGACGATCAATAATCGACTATACAGGGCATCCCGAAATTAAATAGAAATATTTCAATTACAGATTCTAGAACCAAAAATAATGGCTCCCTGGGGAGGTTATACAGGGTGTTCGCAAAAAATCAAGGGGTTCATATATACGAGGGTTCGTAAATGCATAGTTTTCAAGATACGGTGTGTACGGAGGAAAAATCGGTTTTTTATGAATATCTCAAATATCCTTCCACCGATTCTCTTGAAATTTGGCAATAATTTTCTTTGTCGTGAGGATCTGATTTGACCATAGTAACATTGGAATTGTGAAATCCAGTGGCGTCCCGGGGGCACCCTACCGAATATTATTGTCAATAAAATGTGCGCCACTGATTTTCAAACATTTTATATCTTCATATTATCCTTATGATTAACTAAAAATACAACATTTCGGTCTCTTGAATTGTCTTGCTATTTTGCTACGTTTCCGTGGAAAAAAATAAATACAAATTCATTGTATAAATTTGTGCAAAACATTACTTCAGAAACAGGGGTGAAATTAAATGTGTGATCCATGTCCATAGACGTAAAATTAGAATGAAGATTCATTTCCTTCCAATATTTTATAATACATGTTTGACACACTTTGTATTATCGAAAACTACACTTTCCTGAACCGAGAATACATGTAGTTATCAATATACAGAGTGTAGAGTGTGTCAAACATGTATCAACAAATATTTGGAAAATATGAATCTTCTTGATTTTCACCCCAGTCTTTGAAGGAATTTTTTGGCACTTTATGCATTAAATTGGTATTTATTTTTTTCCATTATCAAAACAATTCAGAGACCTAAATGTTGTATTCTCAGTTGGTCAATAGGTAATGAAGATACAAAATTCAAAAAAATTAGTAGTGCACATTTTATTGACAAAAATATTCGGTAAGTTGCCCCTGGGACGCCACTGGATTTCATAATTCCAATTGAATTATTGCTAGAATCAGCCCCTCATCACAAAAAATATAATTGCCAAATTTCAAGAAAATCGGTGCACATCCGAAAATATGGAACTTCAATGTAAAGCCAATTTCACTGTCCCAAATTTCAATACTATTAGAGATGTTTTCTCAAAACTTAACGACGAATTACCAGTTCGTATTAATTGAAACACAAGCGTAGCTTTTCAGAATGTCTTTTAAACAATCACTTTACCTTATATCCACATGATTGTAATCACCTTGTGCATTTTCACCATGGAGATTCACCAATTGAAATGCACATCCAAAAATATGGTACTTCATTGTACAGTCCATTTTACTGTCCCAAATTTCAATACTATTAGAGATGTTTCCCAAAACTAAACGATGAATTACCAGTTCATTTTTTGCTTTTTGGAATTTATTTGGACAATCTCTTCGCATTTTGTCTTCATAGACTTCCAACTCAATTCTCATTCTAAAATATCTCTCTATCAGTGATTAAAACCATCTTTTGTTCTACAGTTTTTATGTTCGAAACTTGATTAATATCGTAATTATCTTCTTCGGAGTTTTTGTTTCATTCAAGTTTAATCCGAAGTATAAATTATAATCGTCAAATTATCCTCAACTGCTAACTCGAATTCCTATTTAATTACTCCCTTAATTAGACGACATTTAATTTTCCTTAACGGGATAATTAACTCTCGGATTCATTTTATTTATTATATAGTCCCACAATATTCGGTTTTAACAACGTCTAGTCTGGATGGCTGTACTGATATTTGGTAAATAACCTTTCGAGACATAATAAACCCATCAAATGTTTTCGCAAAAACATAATAACAAGCACAAGCAAAAATACCATCCATCACCCCTACGCAAAATATATACACTTACCCTCGAAAGTGTTCTCCAACCCTTGGAACCTGCAAAAAAAACAGCATTAATAGTAGAGTATCCGAAGTAGGGTCGACCTTCACCCATATCTGTTTATTGGATGAACATAATTTTATAAGAAATTTAGCATGTTGAAAATTTAAAAACAAATCGGTTGCTTGAAAAAACCTTTGCCAGGCTACAAATAATTAAAAATTCAAAAATCACTCTTTTTTAACTTCCACCGATGAGTTTGATAAAAAAATATTCAGAACAGTTGATAATCCAGTATATGGAAGTTGAAAATCTCTACTCGTTAGCGCATAACCAGATTATAATAAATCGAAGTATCCGTATTTGAGCAAGCTTGTGTACGTTTGGAGTTTGGCGATTAGAATGATTGGTTTGATCCGTTTGATCCGATTATTCTGGAATTGGATGTGTCAAAGTCTAACGAGTTCGGAATTTGACTGGCGTCTGGCATCTACTTATACACCCACCCTATATGGAGTTCGTGAGATAGAGGAGATACAGATTCAGTAAAATTAGAATAAATGAACAGAATTCTCATTATCAATATATATACAGTATGCCGAATTTCGAGTGAAAACACCCTCGTATGTCGTAGTAAACATTTTATGTGAACAAATCATAATTCTCAGATGTCAGTTCGTTATAGTTTTAGTTATATTATAGGGAGATGAAAATTGTGTATATCATGAAGAATGGCTGAAAGAATAACTGGACTTCAGGTTACTGATGAGGATTTGATATCCGAAATGAATTTATTCGAGTGAAGTCATATAACCTGTTTGTGAGAGATATAATTCCCATATTACTGATACGAATGATTTTTCTGGAATTTCCAAACTCATCAAGATCAGAGTATATACAAGTATACTCATATATATATTTCAATTTTCATTTCAATACTGAACATATTGGTAAGTTATATATATTATTTTATTCGATTTGAGAGATTATGTCAATTCTCAATTTCAGAGGATTTTTATTTTTCAGGCTCTCTTTTTGGATGTTCAACAGATATAATTCAATGTTCGACGTGGCTTATAGCCAGGAAAGTAGTTATTTTCTGTTGAATAAACGAGAAAGAATTGATATTCTCATCACATAGAAAATGCATTAAAACACCATATAAAGGGTTATAGGCTGAATTGGAAACTGTTGAAGAAGAATCGAATTCTCAAATAACAACTAATCTTTAAGAAAACCTCAATGGTGAAAACCGCACATTGATTTATTATTGATATATCAACGTTTCAGAATTACAAGGTGTTTATTATAAGATTGTCATGGAAACAAAACAGAAATTGCCAAGAAAATAAATTTCAGCAATTTTTCAATAATGCACACCATGTTACTTAGAAACGATGATCAATATTTATAATGTATTTCCCTAGATTTTTTGGAATTCTCCACATTTCTATAAATAATAATTAAAGTACAATTAACTACCTATGTATAACGGCAAATCGGAGATGACTTGTCCCAAAATGCCACTGCATTCAGAAATTGTACAGTTAGAAAGCCTAAAAGAAAACTTTAATCGATAAATCTAATTTTCAATTAGTTTTGATGCGGATATTTTGAGAACGAATGTGCTCTCTTTTGAAATATGAAAACGGTAAATGTAATTTTTTTTCCTAGTCGTCCTTCAACGCCGTAGTATTCAAATTAAGGTACATTTTATTTTGAAAGTATTTGTCACTTTTGAAAATTAATGTGAAACAAATTGGACCACTCTGTATCTCAACAATAATCTAGAATAATTGCCGAAAACGGAGTGTTCGCAAATGGTTAGCAATGTTGACGCACCCATTACGTAGGAGTTTCGGATCTGCCCTCGTATATCCAATTAAAATAAATTAAATCCCGTCTTACTCCCACTCCGTACACCTAATAATGAAATTAAAAGTGAAAACTAATATGCAAAATGCAATTAGTGGCACTTAGTAGGTCACTATTACTTGAGGAAGAAATGCCTATAGACGTAAACAAGATAAGATTCTACTTTCTAAGCTCTAGTGATACGTTGATATGCGTGCTATCTGCACTGAAATTGTCTGGATAGTTTATTTGTTTTTGTGATTTATGAATTAAATAAACAATTTCAATGGGTAATAAACACAATCTGCTGAATGTTTTGAGAAAGGCTTTAATATCACGTTTCCGTTTGGTTTCAGGTGATAATTCTCAACCAAATAGTGATATTAATAAGCCAAAGATAGATTTAGGAGAGACAAAAGATGACGAAAAAGAAGAAGAAGAGAAGGAAAAAATTGACCAAAGTCAACAAACTACTCCAACATCTCCGAATAACTCAGGTTAGTATATGTTCGAGATTTTAAAAAATTTTGAGAATAAAGATTGCGAGGATTGATGATCTACAACATAGTGGATAAAATATATTGGACAAACATGGAGGAACATGGAAATCTGATTCACAGAGCATAAATTATTTCGCCCATTCCGATTTGAAAAATCGAGCTCTTAAAACATGCAACAAACCATGGGAATATAGTTATAGGAAATAACCCACATCGGTGAAGAAGTTCAAATAACGTTGATAGAGAAAGAATATCCCTTATAATTCTGTTCTTTCTTGTAATTTACATTGAAAATGAGAAGAAATAGAGAAGAATACCACTACAACAATTTTCATAATCATCTTCTCTGTTTACATTCCTCGCACTATTTTTTGCAGACGGTCAAAACTACCTGTTGGATTCGTCGTCGTTGGAGGATGACAAACCCTCCGAAGAAAATTCGCCTTTACCCTCCCATGGATCGCCAGTGGCGGGTATTTTGAAGGGAGGCAAGCTGTGGAGGCAACAGAGTTTGGAAAACAATGCGCTAAAAGTGAACGAACAAATCACAGTAAGTACCTATTCATCGCTCATTCAGTCTGTTTTAGCTAATACTTGAAAACTTATCACCCTTCCCCTTATCTTCGAAGTCTTTAAAAAAAATTCAAATTGCCCGGACAGGTCGATTTATATCTGTGATGGGAAAGATTTTTTTACAAGCGTGCGTGATTCACCCTATACCCGCATGCAATTTAGTATGGAAAGTTTCATTTTCCCACAACAGTGCGGGAGATGATATGATATGATATTATCGCAAAATATAAGTGGTTGGTGATAGAATATGAAAGTTAAAGTTTGTTTGTTGCAGTATCAAGTATTTTTGTTCCGAATCATCCATCAAATTCCACTATTTACTTTTACTTTTTTGACTTTTAAATTGAGGAATATTGAAAAATAAAAATTGAGTGTTATAGAAATCCCCCTATAGAATTGGATTGATCTGATGCGGGAAACAATTACTGGTGCCATGCCAATCAAACCGCAAATTAGTTTGTAATTTTCGGAGTAGTAAATTGCTACGATGGATAATACATGGTGATGAAAACCTTCAAGCAACAGATGTATTATTGCCAACGAAATCTTGTTTAAGAAGAAATACATGAACGCGTTTTATTGAATGGTGCAACATTAAAAAAATACGAACACCAAATAAAGAATTAGTATATTGTTTAACGAGCACGGAATGATAGTGATTTCCCACGAGAATGAAGTTGAAGCAGCATGAGCCGCGATCATTCGAGTGGGAAACTAGCATTCCGTGCGAGTTATACACTATAATTTTTCTACGGCTGTAACAAGCAACAGCGGCATTTTTTATTTCTTCGTTTTGTAGCCATCTGATTTCTTCTTAAGTAAAGCTCATCTATTAGACATGAGCGATGAGATTTTTTTGGAATAATAACACAATGGAGTCATTGTGATATCAGATACGGAAATACAATTGATGACATACAAAGTACCTCATTGATGTATCGAACACAGTAAGACAAGAGCCATTTTGTGTTATAGCCGTAGAAAAAAGTATTTTTTCCATCACTAGCTAGAACCTACCATTATTTACTCCTTTTCAAGGCGCAAAATGTGTTTTTACTACCAAGGTAGGTAGTTCTCGTCATTTTATGAACGACTAGTCAATAAAAGACATAGCCACCTCTGATATACTTAACCCGAATTCACTGTTCTTATGCAAGATTCGCAAGAATGGCACTCGAATGATCAATATCGACTTATCATATGCTGTCATGATCATGGCTACTAGATTTTGATCAGAATTGAAAAGAAGTGCGCTTTCATACTTTCACACTTTACGCCTCAAAATAAGTGAATAATGGTAGATTTTATGACTAGTGGCGGAAAAAAGTTTATAAAACTATCATTTCAAAGTCATCCAGTGGCGTACCATGAAGAAGTTTATGGAGCGAAAAAAGGCCTGGCATCTAAAAAAATATCTCCCTTTAGAATCTTACAATCACTTAGTACACTGTATAATGTGGAAGCTAAAACGTAACGTATGATACAAATCTGATATGAATATCTCGAAAACTAAAAGAGCTATAAAGAAAAAAATCTTGCAATTCTAACGATCTGCAGATCGGTAACGATGAAGCGTTTGCGGACAGATGTTTAAATAGAAGAAAGTCTTGTTTTCATCTGAAAAATAAGCCCCTGAAATCTTGATACTGAATTTTGAAACTTCCTGTTTACATTCAGCAAACACCCAATATTCTGCCAAAGTTTGGAGTTCAAAAGTTCAAATATTGATCCATCTTGCGAAGAAATGTATCAATGTTGTCAGAATGTCTTCACAATTATTATGAAAAATATAGGTACATTGTTATAGCTTATAGTATACGAGAAAACCAAAATTAGAAAGGTATTGTTCAAGTTCGAAATATTTTGTGGAGTAATGAGGGAACATATGTCGGGATCTCTTGTATCAATCGACGAAGCTACCACTATCAACAATTTCTTAATTCCAATTCATTCCAATATCTTTTCTTTTTTCCTAAAGATACACGATTTTTGTCTTTTATACAAAAATCATGATATAGAAAAATTAATACTTAGTGAATAAAACTCCTCGTAATTCTCAGAAAGTGGATTCGATATCGGACGACGAATCCTCAACCCCCAGGACGGTTCGCTTCATCGAAGAAGAGAAAAAAGACAGCTGCAAGTCCTCCCCGGAAACAGAACGACAAGTCGAGGGCAAGGAATGCTCCAAGGAAGAGGACGTCGGCAAACCACCAGGTCCTGAAGCCACCGAAATGACCCTAACCTTCAAACTGGGCAACCACGTGTTGATCTCCAACAACAGCCTCAAGCCCAACTCGGCCGTCAGGTAAAATAATAGTTATCAATACACTAAGGTAGTAAATAATATCATTATCACCCAGGGACCATGCAAGATTATATCCCGAGGCTTCAGACGAGGGTTATAGAATAGAATAGAATAGAATAGAATAGAATAGAATAGAATAGAATTTACAGGTTGTATTATTGTAAAATTAGCTCTTGAAGAAGACGTTTCTTTTACTGGTACAATAAAATGATTATCAAGTATGTTGCTAGCCAATTCTTTTAGTCTCTACGAGCTAACGTTGATGTTTAACTCCTTGGAAATAAGAGTGTGTCGAATTACAGCTGATATATGATAGCTGCTTTGACAGTGACATGCTCAAGTGAGTCAAAATAGTGGTGACTTCACTTATATATTTCATTGATTAGATATCAATTATTTCGATTGCCGAAAAAATATCATGTTTCATTAGGATAAGAAGTGACTAGCATAATTTGCGTTCTTGGCTTCGCGGTCGCTCTGGCTAAACGCAAATATCGCTTGTCAGTGTTACATCCCAATAAAACAATAATGTACTATTTTCCTCAACAGTTCCCCTTAGGCTAAAAAGGCTGTACTAGGTCATCAAGAATAAACAGCATAGTTTAGTATTCATTATATTCAACAAGAAACACAACACAATTACATAGTCAATTCGTTATATTCATATTGAAACTACAATAATTCGAACATGCTTGAAAATTTAATAAACCTGATCTGTAATTGCCTAAACAGTATTTTACAAAACGTCACTTTTCATGAATAACTTTTTTTCCCACGGGAAAAAAGTGAGTACTTTTATCCCGGATATATAGGTGCACTGTTGATGGCTTTTATTGTGCCAGTTACGAAAAATAAGCCAATAACACCGTCTCCGAGAAATAACTTTCCTTTCCTTTCATCTACCATTCCACTTCATGGTTACGAAAATTACTAAACAACCACTAAGGTCGCATTTTTTCAAAATCAAGTCACAGATATTTGATTACTTCTAAAGAATGATGAAGATACCTGCAACGTAGCTGTCATTCCTGTTCAAACTTCAAATTTCACGTCGATTAATTTCCGATTTTAAAATAATGTAATACCTTCTCAATATTTTTTATTCGTCCTTTTTCCTGTCACAAAAAAAAGACATGGGAAAAAAATAGATTTTAGCTCACGGCTTTTTAACACAACCAGGAGCTAAAATCTACTCATTTTTTTCCTTGTTTAATAAATAGCTTTATGTGTGTAGGCAGCTGTTTCCCTGCACCAAGCCTTTGGCCCAAGAAGACCACCAACAGTACCTGGTAACAGCCGAGTCCCTTCGAGCCTTCGAAGAGGCCAAACGGTCCAAGCTGCCCCAGATCATCCAGAGCGCAGGCACCACTGATTCTATAAAGCGCGTGATAGAAAGGAACACGCTGCGCAGGTCGCTGCTAAGGTACGCAATAAGCAGTGTTACTTGCTAAGAAACCTGAAAATGATTTTAGACAACAATGTTTCATATTACCTCGGACATTTGGCGAGTTTTTTTTTTATTTCTTGAAAAATAGAATCAGTACTCAATTACCTTTCAATTTCATATTTTTCTATATATTTTCGGGGTTGATGCTTTTTGGTTCAGGAGGTAATGAAAAACATGTTGTAGAGCCATAAATGACATTCAATAGAATTCGAAACAAAAATAAACCTTGGACAAACAAGTCAAAAACAAAAAAACACAAACGTCCATAAATAAATAAAAAAATTAATGTTCTTTGGCAAGTCGACAAAAAGGATAAGGAGCTCTATTACATTTACAAAATCAAATCTAAATTCCTTTTTTTATATTTTCGCGAACCTCTCTAGTACAGCATCTAAATTCAATTCTTTTACTAACCTTTCTTGGCCCATTGTTGCCCTAAGCCACGTTTTCAACCTCTTAAGGGTTAAAAAACTTGTTTCCGAACTTGCTACATTCACAGGCATGACAGATTAAATATAGAGCTAGGTATACATTTGGATAAGTATCCTTATCGCGAAACTGTAAAGCAGAGGATGCCAAACTAGACAAATTTTTCATCATGGGATGGTGCTACATCCCATTGTTTGAACCAAAGGTCCAACTCGATATATAAGTGAGTTAATAGGAAATCTTCACCTTCGTTCGTGAAATTTGATGAATATTCTGCTAAGTTTTGTTTTATTGAGGAATAGTCCGCATTGATGACTGATTTAATGTTTGATGGAATTTAGCTATTGATGTTGAGAATTCTGTACAACTCATTATGAAATCGAAATTTAAGATCTTCAATCACGTTATCTAAAAGAGGAATGAAAATACTTCTTCGGAAGTATTCTTCAATAGAACCTCATGGAGTATTAACTCGATGTGTTTGCCTTTGGGTAATTCGAGGCATCATGAGATTCAAGTTTAATTTTTCGTGAAGGTTTTCTATGTCTTCAAGGAGATGAGAGACTCCCACCTCCCACTATGGATAATTTTGGAAACGATGTTGTGGTGTATTATGTGATACAACTATATCGGATTTGCGTTCGTCTGTATCTATTGAATTTCTTGGGGAGGGGGGGGGGGGAATTACTCCCCAGTACCCCCCCCCCTCTAACAACTTTTTGAAACAGCACAAACAGCAGAAACTGAAAATAAATTCAGCGTTTAGGAAAGAAACATTTATATCAGTATTCATTTATAGCAAGAAAAGTAGGTAGTTGTTTTTCTTCCGTCATCTACCATTGTTTTCCAGTTTTTGCACATTTGTCGAAATGACTTATTCGAGCTATTGTTCTTGAACTGGAAAATTCCCATTTTCAAATAAACTCTGTTGGCAACCCTGAAGGTATGAACCGAAGAGCAAGAAGCACGTCCAAAAAACGGACAACTCGCTGGTGGAGCGCATAAAGCAGTTGACGTGTGACATAGACGAGATCAGCGTCGAGGCAGAGGAGAGGGTCAGTCCCACCGGCCAGGAGGGAAACAACACTCTCGATGTTAGTCAGGTAAGAAATATGTTCTACTTCAAATAAACCTTTTTCAATAATAAATTACCCCAGATGAGGAGCACTTTACAATCAAAAAATCCTGTTAGAGAAGTTTATAAAAAATACTAACATTGTTATAAAACAGCTATAGCATTGGCTAGAAGAGAATCATATAACAAATTCAAAGAAAAGTCCAATAAAAAAATCACCTCTAACAAAAACAACATATTTCTCTCTAAAATAGCAGAAAACATCATCAAAGATCTGCCAAACTACAAAATCGATACATTAGATTGTCTTTCAAGCCTCTCGAAACCCAGAGATTTTTTTTCATACTTCCCGTGACACATGAAGATGTAGTTATTTCGATTGAAAAACTGAAAAAATCCTCTTCCCTTGATATATATCAGTAGATAGTTTTTGCCGGTTCCAGGTCTCCCCCCCCAAGGTCACTTCTCCAAGGTCACACTCCTCTGGCCTATCTACTTATATCAATAGCCGAATCATCAAAGAAACACTTCTAACCATTCTCATAAACCGTTGTTTCTCAGAAGTGGTGTTTCCAGATATATTTAAGATGAGCAAAGTATCTTCGAGAAAGGGGATCGGGATTTACCTGTCAATTATAGACCAATTTCTATTATACCTGTTTTGGGTGTTTTTGGTAAAATAATAGATATCATAGTTAAGGAGAGCTTGATGTTTTTTACATGTTTATTACATAAACATCAATATGGCTTCATGACAAAAGAACTACATCCGATGCAGTGGTGAAAGTAAAACACAATGTAATTGAAAATTTAGAAAATGGTGGACACACCTCATTGACTTTGTGGAATCTCAGCAAATCATTCGATTGCATCTGCCACAATATCCTTATAGAGGAACTTACATACTACGGAATCCGAGGAATAGTTTCAAGCTTTTTTCAGTCTTATCTCCACGCAAGAAGACAAGACGTCTGTGTAGATGGTGTCTTATCAGATGAACAACATGTATCTCGCATGGTATACCCCCGGGTTCTATTCTGGGACCGACACGTTTCATCGTTTATATAGATGATATCTTTCTTCATTCACTACCCAGTACAATTATTATTTACTTTGCGGATGATAACACAATGTTAGAATCTGCTTCTGAAGAAATCGAGGTTAAAGCTGAGAACTGGTTTGCTTGTGACATTCTCAAATTAAACAGGGATAAAACCTAAAAGCTCTTGATATCTTCAAATAACAGATTAACTAGTAACCACGTTGAACTGCTTGGCATAACTATTGATGATACGCTCAAATGGGAAAATCACATTGACCAGCAGTGTTAAAAACTATCCACACAGACATTTTTACTCCGTCAGATGAAGAAAGTCTTGAACCCACTCCTAACGTCGTATCATTCTCTATTTCACACCCATTCAATGTATGGGATTTTGTTTCGGGGTAAGTTCACCCATGCCCTCAGAGCATTCCAAATACAAAAAAAACATCAGAATTATAACTGGAGGTCCATTTGATGGTCATTGCAAACCACTCTTCAAAAAATTCAGAATTATGCCATTACCCTGAATTTATATATTCTACACCTTACTTCATATTCATAAGAACGAAAACTCTTATCCCACTCACTCGCACCTCCATATATAACTGCCCCACAAGAAATGCAGAAAAACTCCGACAACCAGAGGTTATACTCGTAATGTCAATGCGTAACACACTGGATTTGGAACTTTATAATCACCAACCCCTTGATGTGACGCTTTCAAGCATATAGTGTGTTCAGAAGGAGGGTGAAAGAATATCTTCTTGAAAATTGCTTTTATTCTATCCAAGATTATTTTCTTCTTTGCATAGTCTTGATTTCGTTGGCTTCAGCTGCACTGAAATCTTTCACTTCGGGTACTACCATTTAGTTCTTTCCTTCTTTGAATAGTCCTGCTTTCGTTGGTTTAGCTACATTGAAAACTGTCCTTCGAATTTTACTATATTGTCTATTCTCTATATTCAATAATATGTTTTGTTTATAGGATACCAACAAAACGAAAGACCGCAACTTTTCTCCATCCAGCTCTTCCACAGCCAGCTCGAATTCGTCCTCGATGTCTTCCACCTACAGAAAAATTACAGACCTGTTTGGCAAACGCGAGATTCCTCCAGATGCTGCCACACAAGCTGTCTCCTACGAACCCAAAGGCGTTCAAACTCTTCCAGACATTGGGGGACCATACACGGTAAGACATTTTTGAAGCAGCGTACTCTTCAATACTTCGAATATTTGTGGACTCTTACCGATTCTCGTTCTTCATTGTCTTGTTTAAAAAAAAATTAAAGATTAGTTCCTTATCGTTCTGAGACTTCCCTTGCTCGGTTAATTAGTCCTGTTATTGGTATTGGTAGGTGTTTATGGTCTTAGATGCGCTGCGACCTGATTAGATCTATTATGGTGTCCTATCTTCTTCTGTATCTCAAGGTTTTCTTGGTTTTATAGCAGCTCTTCAAGCTTCATTCTTCAAGGAATTCGAGGATTTCGATAGGATTTTTTTGTTTTAATCCTTCCACAGTCAGCTGGTATGATTCCAGTTTATTTGATCTATCAATTTTGTGATGAACATGTACATCATAACACTCCAGCAAAGTGTGGTAGGGAGTGTCTGGATGTTTCCGACAGAATCTACAGGTGCTGTCATCCGCTAAGCCTAGCCTCCTTAAATGTTCTCTGAGTCCCGTTATTATCTTGGGACAAATTTTGCTGGGGTTAATCAGTGTCTTCGATCTTGCTCGGTTGAAATTTCCGAGGAGATCAGATCTTTGGCCTGTGGCAGTCCTGGAAGTTTCGGCAGTATGTTGCTTGTTCACCTTCAATAAGTTTTTCTTGAAATGGTTCTGGTCCTATCACTGGCGGTGATGCTCTTTTTCGGGCCAGAATGTATATTTGTTCATTTCCCTCCACTCTAATGTGCCCGGACACCCAGAAGAGGATTACCTTGTATTGTTTCTGTCTAGATTGTTGAGTTTGTCTAGGCATTCTCAAACTATCTTTGATTTGATGTTAGAAGAGCTCAACGCTTTGATGACTGCTTAGCTGTTGGAAAGAATAGCGATTCCTTTGTTCCGTTATCTGTCGAGATCGAACTGGATGCACCTTTCTATGGCGTGAATTTCCGCTTGAAAATCGCTGCGAAACTAGCATATCGGTTCGGAATATTTATAGTGCGAGGCCCACACACTCCTGCTCCAGTTCCCTTCTGTATATTAGACCCGTTCCATATTTTGGAATTCTTCTGCAATATGCTTGCATGCATGGATTCTGTGCTCCATTCTCTCTACTCGGTGCTTAGCTCCGTTCGGATATTATGCTCAAAAATGAACTTCCTGATCATTTCATCGCAGTTGAGAAATCGGCGAGGTTTGCACTTCCAGTGAGCAGTGAATCCCTTACGCTGTGTGCTTTCCCTTTGAGCCCGGCATCCTCCAACCAAAAATGTTTTTCCTAAGCAGTTCTTCTCACCATGAATGTACTTACATTGCTATACTTCTGTTTCATATTAGGTTCTGTTTGGTAATAACAATTATCCCCTTCACTTTAACAAGCCCTATAGTATTTCAAGTAGTATCCCAAAGTAGAGTGTGTTTGAGTCGAAGAAGACGATCTTTATAATAATCATTCTCGACCTGCTTCCAGGAACCGCAAGACAAACCCCCCGCCAAACCCACCCCCATCGCCGAGAGCAGGAAACAGTTCCTGGCGCCCCTCACGGCCTGCGTCGGCCACCCCCCTCCCCGAGACGACCACTTCTACCGCCCGAGCCACCGCCTGGGGGCCACCCCCTCCCATGGCCCGGGGGGCGGCGAGTACACCCTGGACGACATCGAGGAGGCGTTGGCGGACGAGGAGGGGCAGAAGACCGCCCCCGACGTGTTGGCGGGCACTCCGGCCTCGGAGTCCGGGGACGAGCTGCTGGTGTTCGTGCAGCAGGACGCCAACAGGATAGAGAGGATCAAGAAGAAGTGAGTTCTTCGTCGTTATTTACAGGTTGTTGTTTTTATCTCTTGGAGAGCACGAGAGGAAACTGCATGTAAATTCTATGCTGACATATGCTAAATTGTTTTGTTGAGCACCCTCGTAAATGTTTTGACATTCGACTCACCGCCCACTTTGTGATTATTTTCGAGTACTATCGAGTGTTCTCCTCAGTAAGAAGATCAAATAGAGTGACGACAATAGATCTCCGGAATGACATATTCGTGCTATCAGGGAAATGGAAAAGACAAAGAGCAGAATATACTTCTTATTCTTTTATTCACTCAAACCATAGGTCGCGTGCACGATAACCGACCCTGGAGGCAAAATATTGAAACATAACCCCACTCTTCTGTGCAACATTGAAACACAACCTCACTTTTTCTATTTGTTTACAGAGGAATCATAGGATTGAAATAGTCTTTCACAATATTTTGGCACACAAATCGTGTTTTTTGCGCTATTCATCAATTCAGGCATGCCTTCTCATTGTGCTGTTGTACAATACACAAACAATGCAGCGAGAGACGAAGGAATATGATTTTGCAGGTAAATAGTAATGTCACATAGTTTTCATTATGAAATGTTGTCATTTCTTATCAAAATTCCTTCTACCACTTCTGCAATAGAAGCTAATACTGCTAATAGATTGAAAGTCTACAACACACACGATCATATTTCGTCAGCATGTCAGACAAGTCCTCCTGTTTGATTGCATGAATCCAATCTTCTTGCATTATTTTAGAAATTTCACGAGTATAACTATTAGCTACTATTGCAGAAGAAATTCCGATGAGAAATCAGAGGAATTATCAAATTTCAAAAATGAAAACTACATGTGATTGACTATATTAGGTACTTAATTTTAAATCATAATGTACCAACCGGATTCCTTCGTCTTCCGCTGCAGTTTTTGTGCATTGTACAACAGCACAATGTGATGGCATGAGCGAATTAATGAATAGCCGATGAAATACGATTCGTATGCCAAAATAATTGTGAAACAAATAATAAAAGTGAGGTTGTGTTTCAATGTTGTGCCTCCAGGGTCGGTGATCTGACAGTTCTTGCACGCAACCCATTGTAATATATAAAATAGAAAAGGACAGAAGTTCAGATGTGTTCAAACTCTTATCTACTAATACCACAGGTACGAGCCCGACCCGAAAAAGGACGACGACGACGAACACGACGACTACGGCTTCAACCGGCGGCCGAGCGTTCGCGGAATTAAACCCCGTTTCGGCTCCACCTCGGAGATCCTGCAGCAGATCCAAAACCAGATCCGAACTCCTGCTCCCCCGCCCCACAACACCAACGCCGCCTGGCCCTACTACTCCGAGACGGGCCCCAATCGCGACGAAGAGTGCAACAGGCTGCAACAGGTTGCGCCGTACCAGTACGCGCAAGAGGATGGGAAGGCGAGAGGATACGTGCCACAGTACAGCTATGGGTGAGCTTCGACCAGTGTTGACACAGAAAAATGTTTTTTCGAGCGAGCTACGCTGTCAAAAACGAGCGAGATCTTGACTGTAAGAGCAAGATTTTGTTGTTTATGAAATGAATGAATATTAACTCAGAACACATTTCTATGTAGGTACATAAATGAATATTCAAATTTTTCTCACGTTTTTTATATTTTTTGGAAAATTGATCCATTCATCAGAGCATAGCTCAACTCTTCATCGAATTATTCATGACAAAGCATGATCAACTGATCGAAGAGTTACGTTATAAGAGTTGATCCCTTGTTGAGTTAACAAAGATAATCATGCAACTGACCCTAAGCATCCTACTTATGATCTTTGAAGGGACCTCAGTTTCCAAGGCTATCCGGTCGAATGTTCAGTTTGTAGAATGATGAAAATAAGCACAACTGATGCGCTTTTGTTACAGAAATCCTTCTTGACCTCTTGAAACAATGATGTCGGCGATCTTCTAATAGATGGTGACATAACACAGCTATGCCATCTGCCAATTTTGAAATTGCCGCAGATTTTTCGAATTTCGAGTGGAATGAACCCATTTTCACATATGTTCCGCGTACCTAAATTGCCATTTGCCATTTTTTCCACTCGTCCCACTCGTCACAGCATCAATTCGCGATAGAAAATAACACGTCGCCCCACCTGACGGCAGCAACTTGAGCACTTCTGAGCGGTTTGTTTTGATGATATGACCAATAAGCACAAACAAAAAACAAATGTGAACCAATGAAAACAAAGTGAACATGTTGCTTTAACAGCTCTCAAGAACTTCGATAGGTGCGTACGCTTATTTTCTATTGCGAATAGCAGTATCACCATCTAGCGAAAAAAAAGTCTCGTCCGATGTGACGTAGAGAAATCATATTGAGCGGTCGAGTGATTTTTCTTAAGTTTTCAATACGTAAAAATGGCCGAGTACGCGCACCATCTACTTATTTCCATCATTGTTTGTAGAAATATGCTAATATGGCTGAGCATTGAAAAAATATAAACTCTGTTATCTCATATTCCGCCCTGAAACTGTTGGATTCTGTCCAAAAAAGGGCAATTCGTCTCGTGGGTGATGCCTCGCTCACAAGCTCACTCACTTCTCTGGAACACCGTAGAAAAGTCGGCAGTCTGGCTCTATTTTATAGAATTTTCATGGACGATGCTCTTCCGAAATATCAAATATTGTTCCTCCCTTGGCAGTCCCCGCGAGATTAACCCGTCGAGTTGAGGCTTTGCATCCCTTCGTGGTTACTTTGGAGACCTGCAGGACTTCTCTTTCCAAAGACTCGTTCATCCAACTAACAGCGAGGCTCTGGGACACATTGCCACAAGAGGTGTTCCCCGAGGCATATAACATCCAGAAATTTAAGAAGAACACCAATTACTACCTTCTTTCCCTTGGTTCTCACGATGTTCTCTGAACATTACAGGATATCCCTTTTCGTGAGAACCAGAACATAAAAACGAAGTAAAGGCACTGAACATAAACAAAGACTTCGGTGGTAAAGCTGTGGGTGAGCTTTCGCTGATTTTTTCTATTAGTCGTTAATGCTGATCGGTGAGGACCGAATCGATCCAGAAGAGTGCAACAAGTTGCAACAGGTTGCGCTGTTCCAGTGCGCGCAGTGGGAAGGGAAGGCGATAGGCTACGTGCCTCAGTGAAGCTATGGATGAGCTTCCTGATGCTTTCTCTGAATTTTGTTCATCATACGTTCATGCTGATCGGTGAAAGCCAAAAGGTAATAGACGAGGACCGATCTCCTTATAATATTGTAAAGAACACCAAATTCATTACTACGAGGAAGAGTGCGCTTAGGAAGTGGAAGGTCGTTTCAAATTAGTACAGTAAATATTTTGACATATGTATAAACTAAAATTATTTTCAAGTGTTTACGAAGCATAGATAGAATTTAATACTCAGCAATATTATATTATGTGAATGAATCTGAATGTTAGGAATCTGAACATTTTTTTGAAAATGCACTTGGAGACCAGATCAAAACAGGGTGAAAGGAATACCAAATTTTGTAGAGTGTAAAAAAATAAAAAAAATAAATTAGTTTGAAATCATTCCAAACATCGAAATCCTTATTGTGTAAGTACTCTTCGAGATCTAACAAACTTGATTTTTTGCAAGATGATTTAGGGAAATTCCATATTAGGTTGAAAACTATGATTCTAAAAGCATTGTGATCCTCTTTTAGCACTTTATTTCAACTACTATGATCACTTATAATAAACGAAAATCTAATGGGGCTTTACAATATAATTGATAAATACTTTCATTTCAGGCCTGGGACTGTTCAGGACAACCAATACCAGAACTGCGGCAACCAGACTTGCTACCAGGAAGTCTACAAAACGCATTCTGCTGTCATAGGAGTCGAGATAGACTGTCAAACTTTGCCGAAGAACAGGAACGGTCGACCACTATCGCCGCCGCCTCAAGAGATGTCGAGAAATTACCACCAAACCATGGTTTACATCCCCTACAACCACATAGAGGGGTACCAACCGGTCATAACGGCGAACGCTTACCAAACCAACGACTACTATCGCTACAGCCAGAATCAGGTCAGCCCAATGTAATTTTTTCAACATGCCGAAGATACGTGGAGGTGGCGGTCGCGGTAGGTAGCTAGCTAGCTACATCGATGTCAAAACAAACACATTCGTTCTAATGAGACCGCACATACCAAGGATGTTTCACCCGCTCACCCTCGCTGATTATCATCGCGGTTTACAGCGATGTCGATTCCAGGACAAAATAGTTTGTTTTACATCGCGATCGAGCTGTTCATGGCATGATAAATTGGCAGATTTATTGGTGTTTTTCAAACCATGTGACATTCTCCTGCTATATGTATGGTATTTATTTATTAATTTCTTGTTATAAACAGGTTGCGAGACGTTTGGGTTGTTTGTTTTGTTAATGTTCGGTGATTTTATACACAAAAATGAAGAATGAGCTGAGAGATTTGGTGTTTTGTGCCTTGCCTTTCTGGGATAAACGCCATAAACAACATCATACTAGTCATGTTCTGGCGAGTGATATCTCTGAATAGGTTTTTCAAATAGGTGATGGTATTCTCCTAGATAGTCTATTTATTCGTTTATAGGATGAGCCCAAAACTAGCGATTTAGAAATCATCTTTCACTTGAAGACATACAATATCACTGTCGTCACTACTGTTGCTTCTATATATACAGAGTTTTATGATTTAAAGAAGCATAATTTTCCAAAACACGTGTAAGTCACCTCAGGAACCGAAAAGAACACTTAGAGGAAGGCATCTTCGGTATAGGTTCTGATGCTCGTCATCGATGTAAACCTCCACCGCGCATATCCATTTATCTTCGGCATTTCCGTACCCCTTTAAAGACGTTTGTAGGGTGACATACTGAATGATGTTTCAGGTCAACAAGAAGTACATAGAGCCCGTTTACCAGCAAAAGATGCAGGCCGAAGACCCCTATTGCAATTCCAATGTCCCTACGCACAAACTATTGAGCAAAAGTCATTATTCGAACAACTACCAGCCCCTTCTGGTACCTGCCAGCAGAAGTGAGAGCCCTTCGATGGGAAACTATGCTATGGCGAGGGGTACTCAAACACCTGCGGGTTGTGTGACCAGCTGCAATTATTATCAAAGTGAGTTATGGATCCAACATATTCAGAGTAATATTCAATCGTTTCAAAATCAGTGAAATGTCGAAATTTTCAGTTGATCAGGAATGTAGAACTTGTACGATACAAGCATAATTGAAGAAAATACAGCTATAATAGTTGAAAAACTAATAATATGGAAGAACAAATACAGGGTGTTTCGAAATTCCAATTCAAGATTTCAGGGGCTTTTTTTCAAATCAAAATAGGACTTTTTCTCTATAAACATGTGTCCGCAAACCATTCGCTATCGATCTACAGAGCGTAAAATTCCAATATTTTTTGTCTTCTTATAGCTCTTAGTTTTCGAGGTAATCAGATCGAATTTGAAACATAGGTTACGTTTTAGGGTTCACATCATACGCAGTAGGCCGAGTAATTTTAGAATCTACACGGAGATATTTTTTGAATGGTCAAGCACTTTTTCGCTATATAAACTTTATTGTGGTGCACCTCTGATAAATTTTGAAGTACGAAATAGGTTATCTGTCTTGTTTATAAACTTTTTTGTCTCTTGTAATTTTTACGCATCTGCAACCGTTATCGAGAAAAAAGTCATTGTAATTCGGTAGAATAAATTGAAATGTTCAACATAAGGGGGGAACGTATTTCCAAACATTTCCTAAAGAGTGAGAAACCTAACAAACTCACTCCATAATAACGGTGCTGGAAAATGAAAAAACCTTGAAATTTTAACGCTCTGTAGATCGGTAACAAATCGTTCGGGAATCAATGTTCGAGAAAGAAGGGGCTTATTTTGACCTGAAAAAGATGTCTCTGAAATCTTGATATTGAATTTTGAAAAACCATGTAGGTATAACGCTCAAAGTCATCTCCACAATATTTCAGTAGTCCCAATTGAATATCTGAAGATTTTGGACTATGAAACTCCATCACAGCCTGCAGTCTGCGTAAAATCATCACACAGAAGTGAAAAACATGATCGAATTTTATATCATTGACTCCAGTTCCATATCTTCTGCAAATATCAACTACCTGCAAACGATCGAATAAAAAAAACTCATAAAAGGGGCGTGTCGCACACGTCATAAGGTGGGCGTACCCTAAAAAGACGGAGAAGTGGGGGTGGCCGATCTCACCCCATACCTACTGAAAAACATGAAATCATCTAATTTTCCTAATTTTTTTTTTGTAGATCCGACATCCATGACTTTGCGGTACCGAGACTCGTTGTTGCGTCCCCAGTACAAGCAACCGGACTACGTCAACAAGGTGAACAGGCACAGTTTTCCCTCCGTGAGGCCGCGCTACTATTCTCCAGACAGCTCTGAGCACTATTACGTCGACGAGCCCGAATCCCAGCACAACGGTACCACCATGAACGGGTACTACAATTATTATGCGGCGAATAAGGAGTCGCCTGTTCATAGTCCAACGAAAACGAGGTTGGTTTACGTATTTTTGTCGTATGATAATTCTAATAGGCAAGTACACTAAGTTACTACGACTTTCATTACGATGCTTCTTTCATCGATGAGAGTATAGGCACATAGAATAGTTTTCGAATTTTTATTCCTTTTGAATTCCCCAAAATGAATTCCCAAAGAAATACTTCCTGATTCTCTAACTTGTTTGGATATTTTGGAATTCATCCTATGTTAAATGAAACTACATGGGAACATTCATTCAAATTTGAAAATTTGAAATTTTTTAAATAATCTTAAAGGTTATATTTATGTCGATGAAAAAAAATCGACTTCTCGTTATATCTGTTTTCTATGTGAACCGAGTGAAATCGCACTATTCGGACGCTAGATATGACGATTTAAATTCATGGAAAACATTGTTTTTCCTTTATGTCCCTCAGTTGATTTTTTGACAATCTCATTTTTTCCAAATGTGTTTCTGTAATGAATTATCTCATATTGTGAGAAGTGTTTGAAAGATATATTAGTTTCCTATATGTCTGTGTATTTTTTTTTGAATTGCGAGAAAATATTGCATTCTACTTTCCCTTTTTTTTCAAATGTGCTCCTGTGATGAATTTTTAACATATTGTGGGGAGTGTTTGAAAGATAATTTCGTTTTCCTATATAGGATTAGGGAACGTACATTGTTCCTGTGTAATTTTATTTTAGACTTTTAAAAAATATCGAATTCTACTCTCTCTAAAACTCACTTATTCTTGTTTTTTTTTTCATAAACTGAATAGTGGATTATGACATATTATGAAATAGATGTTAGAGTGATTTCATCAGAATTTTGATCATTGAAATAGCAAAATATCCAGGATGATCGAGATTTTTTCTGAATACAGATGTAGATTTCAAAAATACTCATCTGCCATTTTTGTTCAAAAATTGAAGGAGAGGAGGGTGGGTTTCTGAACAAAGTATGTATACTTACTGTATATAGGCGAATCATGATACATATAAAAGTCATATTGATTGATTGATTGATTGTCTTTATTACCCCAAGAAACATTTCTGTTTATGATATATGTTTATGATAGGGATACATAAATACATATAAAGAAATAATAATAAAGGGTTAACTAATCCAGCTCTGCTAGAAATAAATGGCTCCTGGTAAATTAATGATTGGTCTATAGAACCTCATGATTTATTAATTGTTTAATATCTACTTAGTTATAATAATTGCTAGAACATGTGCATCAGCTGATTAATTCGAGATTTCCATTGCCGTCATATAAATCGTTAACAAAAAAATTGCTAATATGTATAATGAAAAGAAAAGAGATTTCACTCACCACTATAAATGGTCCTTCTCATTCTCCTTCCTCTTGGAAACACCGAACCGCAACCACCATGTCATGTGACCGCCCTCTGACTAGGTACGTGCCTTCGGCCTAGCGACTTCCGGGCAGTACCCGGATTTATAGGAATACTCCGACAGCCTTGTCCAGTTGGCCCAAGAAACGGCGTTTAAATTCGTACTTTGTTTCGAGGAACAACTGTCTTTATTGTCCCCCAGAGAACGAGCACATGACCATCCCTCAAAATTCGCCGTCATTGATAGAAGAGTCCATCTGAAAAAAATCAGAAGTGGGATTTAGTCGAATCGATCTGAACACAAATAATAATAATTGAGGAGCTTTATTGGGTACCCGAAAGGCCACCGACCGAGGTTCTTCAGCCTGTGTTACACGGTGATTATACATTGAGTTCAAATTCATCATTATTGTATGTACAAGATATATTGAATTATTAAATTTGCTAGTGTAAAGAAGAAAAAAAAGAGGAAAAGTCCATTATGAGGCAAGAATGTTGAAGGAATTTCAGTCTTCTGAATTGATTGAGCATTCCAATAATGTGTTTTCCGGAAACTTCCGTCTTAGGTTCACCATTGGATCTCCCTGTAAACACTGGAATTGGATAATTTGCAGATTGGATTCGTTCTTGGAAAACTTCAACATTAGCTTTTTCCGTCATTCCTTGCTCGCACAAGACTTTCGAAGACTTCTGAGGGTTGCTCGTAAGGGGGCAACCGAATGACGGATAGAACAATTTTTTTTTTCAGTCTCTCAGAAATTGGTTGTATCCTGGTCAGCCGATATAGAAGTTCGTTTGATGGGTGGTGAAGGGGATTCTGAGGGTACCGGATTTTGGTAATGACTCTCAGGCTAGCTCTTTCTGCTACTTCCAAATTGTTCAGTGCCGTCTTCCTCGTGTTTATGTATAATGGGTGAGCATACTCAAGAATTGGGAGGCAAATGGTTTTGTAAATATGTGCTGCAGTTCTTTTGTTAATTCCTTTATTCTTGTAAGTTAGGATTCGAAAATGTTCAGCTCCTGTGATGCACTTTTTTTTTCATACACTGGGTATGATGGTTGAAGTTTAGTGTTTGATCTAAGTGCACTCCCAGATATTTATGCCCTAGTTCTCAATACATGATTGTTCACAGTTACCGTGGGTGGATCATCTGAAATTTTTTGATTGAAGAGTATCAGTTGGGATTTTTCTGGATTTGGTTTTAGCCTCCACTTGTCACACCATCCCATAGTGTTCCGGATTGCATTTTGTAACTCTTCAACTGCTTTTTCGAGTGATTTATGATGAGATAAATTTATAACATAATAAATTCATATCAACTATACTATTTGTATGTCTACTTTTCTGATTTCCGTAACTATGATACTTTCTATTGGCTGATGATGGGCTTATATGAGCCCGAAACATGTTCCTTTACGATTGATCTTTGATCATTCTAATAAATGTTGTATACTTACTTACTACTACTTACTAATTTTTGCAATTTTCAAGTATTTTTGCGATTTTTACAATTTTCAGGAATTTCTGCGATTTTTGCAATTTTCCGGAATTTTCAGGAATTTTTACAATTTTCAGGAATTTTTGCGATTTTTGCAATTTTTACAATCTTCAGGAATTTTTGCGATTTCTGCAATTTTCAGGAATTTTTGCAATTTTCAGAAATTTTTCTAATTTTCAGGAATTTTTCCAACTTTTGCTATTTCTGCAATTTTCAGGAATTTTTGCAATTTTTGCAATTTTCAGGAATATTTGCAATTTCTGCAATTTTCAGGCATTTTTGCGATTTTTGAATTCCTGAAAATTGCAAAAATCGCAAAAATTCATGAAAATTGTAAAAATTGCAAAAATCGCAAAAACTCCTGAAAATTGCAAAAATTCCTGAAAATTCCCGAAAATTGGAAAAATCGTAAAAATTCCTGAAGATTGCAAAAATCGCAAAAATGCCTGAAAATTGCAAAAATCGCAAAAATGCCTGAAAATTGCAGAAATTGCAAATATTCCTGGAAATTGCAAAAATTGCAAATTGCAAATAAAATAGCAAAAATTGGGAAAATTCCTGAAAATTAGAAAAATTTCTGAAAATTGCAAAAAATCCTGAAAATTGCAGAAATCGCAAAAATTCCTGAAGATTGTAAAAATTGCAAAAATCGCAAAAATTCCTGAAAATTGTAAAAATTCCTGAAAATTCCAGAAAATTGCAAAAATCGCAGAAATTCCTGAAAATTGTAAAAATCGCAAAAATACTTGAAAATTGCAAAAATCGCAAAAATGCCTGAAAGTTGCGAAAATCGCAAAAATGCCTGAAAATTGCAGAAATAGCAAAAATTGCAAAAATGCCTGAAAATTGCTAAAATTGCAAAAATTCCTGAAATTTTTTTTGCGATTTTTGCAATCTCCAGGCATTTTTGCAATTTTCAAGCATTTTTACGATTTTTACAATTTTCAGGAATTTCTGCGATTTTTGCAATTTTCCGGAATTTTCAGGAATTTTTACAATTTTCAGGAATTTTAGCTATTTCTGCAATTTTCAGGAATTTTTGCAATTTTCAGGAATATTTGCAATTTCTGCAATTTTCAGGCATTCTTGCGATTTTTGCAATTTTCAGGCATTTTTGCGATTTTTGCAATTTTCAGGAATTTTTGCGATTTTCGCAATTCTCAGGTAATTTTGCAATTTTTGCTATTTCTGCGATTTTTGCAATCTTCAAGCATTTTTGCGATTCTTGCAATTTTCAGGAATTGCTGCAATTTTTGCAATTTTCGGGAATTTTCAGGAATTTTTGCAATTTCTGCAATTTTCAGGCATTTTTGCGATTTTTGCAATTTTCAGGCATTTTTGCGATTTTCAGGAATTTTTGCGATTTTTGCAATTTTTACAATCTTCAGGAATTTTTGCAATTTTTGCAATTTTCAGAAATTTTTCTAATTTTCAGGAATTTTTGCAATTTTTGCTATTTCTGCAATTTTCAGGAATTTTCGCAATTTTTGCAATTTTCAGGAATATTTGCAATTTCTGCAATTTTCAGGCATTTTTGCGATTTTTGCAATTTTCAGGCATTTTTGCGATTTTTGCAATTTTCAAGCATTTCTGCAATTTTTGCAATTTTCAGGAATGACTTTGGGTCTTCATCTATGTTCCTAATTTTTTTCTTGCCATATTGAAGATTTTGTTGAAGAAATATGAATTTATTGATAAAATTTGGCAGCAGGTACATAGAAAGAGGGGTGCCAGAAGGAGCAGCGAGCGTATCTCCGCAGGATTCCATGAGCACGGCTAGCACTAACACTTCCCCCACTCTGGGCCACTCCGCCAAACCCATGTTTTACGCCATGAACGTCTGAATGGAGAGACTGAGGATGCACAGAAAAAAATCGAAACGTCGTATGTACATACTTACGCAGAAAAATGTTGCTTTAGATGAAAGCATTGTTTGTTGACACTTTTTGTAGGTTATAATAACCGCGAGGCAGAAAAAAATTGTTGATTATGAGGATCCCGTGTATCATATATAGTATCGGTGTTTTTTCTGTTTTTTAGCTTTGAAAATATATTTGTGACGTTATTGATGTCAGTATTAACAGTATTATGAGATATAAGATACCTACTTATGTGATTTTCTACTTAATTTTTGCGTTTGTTCTTTGTTGTTGTTGTCTCTGAGGGTTTTTGAAATTCATGTTCTGTTGAGACAACTTTATCAAAATTATTGTTATTAAAGCTGTTACATTTTCTTTTGATAATGCAGTCTTTTTGGATAGAAAAAATCAATATCAATATCAACTCTTCTTCCCAAGATGAAAATTGGAAAAATTTATGGTAATTCTCTCAATTCAATTGGATGGTAAAGAAAAAAAAACAGTTATACATATTATTTACGTCAAAAAACTAAATATCTGCCGTTTAATAATATTTATTATTATTATTATCATTGTTTGCTTAGCTATAAACAAGTATGCAACAAAAAAAAATTCAAATATTGTAATTTTGACCCCATACAGAGTGTTTTATCTGAATGTTAGGAATTGTAAATTAGGTACCAAATAATTGGCATCTCAATAAGGAAAAATGTATAGGTTCCAAATTATACTGGGTGTTCGACTTAATGATCTCTTGAGGTACGATAGAAAACGTCATAAGAAATGTTCGACATTGATACCTACCTACTCTATATACAGGGTGTTTCTTGTCTCTTCCTATGACTGAGATGCGAGGTGATGAAAATTTTCTGAAACCGATTTGGAACACATTCCCGATGTATCTTTGATTTTGCATTTAGAATCAGAATTACTCATCGAGTTATTCGTTCATAATTTCAGAACACCCAGTATATAATTGAATTAAGAAAGTTTGGAATACCCTGTATTTTGTGGGAATTCATGAATAACGGAAATGGTAGAAGAAAATTCAATGGTAGCTATATATATTTTCAAGATATATGATTGTACAAAGATATTGTTGTAATTTGTATTGAAGAGTTTATTACAATAATTCTTATCACCTGTTTTTCCAACAACTTTAACCCTCTTTCTGAATACTGTAAGCTAAATACCGAGTGGTAGAGCTATTTTTGCCAGAAACGATCGTTTGATTTTTCATGATTTTGTATTTTTCATGTTCCCAAATTTGAATATCATTCCCCATGCGTTAGTATACAGGGTTATTCAACACGGCGCATTGTGGCTAACGCATTTGGTTTCGTGAAAGTTTTTTTTTTTTCGGATGAATTTTGAAAATATTTTCATGTTGTACAGGGTGTGCCAAAAACACGGAATGTATCGAAGGTGCTATTTTTCGAATGGAATAACCTGTATTTTATCGCATTTTCAGATTCTTCCTGAAGAGCTGATTTCATCAATGCATCACACTTGGGGTCTAATGATTACAGAGATATAGGATGTTCAGAATCGAGATTTTTTTAACTTTAGGATTTTTTGTGTCGAAACTATTCATTATCGGTCAAAACGGCTTACATGCCCCTATCCCTAAATACAGGGTGGTTCAAGATTCATAATTCCATCAGAAATTAACTCAGAAATTAGCAAGTTGACCAAAAGTTCGCAATTTTTAAGTTGATCAAATTACCCTGTATATCCTCTCCGAAAACTTCAGATATCATTATTATTATCAGTCATAGATGAATACCTGTTCGGGAATTGATAGGATAGAAACTCGGATAGAAAGGTGACGCAACTAATTTGTCATTCGGGACGAGGTGGTGAATCACCGAATCACCGTGAATCGTGAATCGTGTCAGTCTTGTGTTAGATGTCATCGTGTACGGTCGGTCTACTTAAATTGTTCGTTTCAAGCAAGAATCTAGTGCATATCGCGTAATAGTATACAGAGTTTTTCACGATGAACGTCAATTAGAAGTTTGTGGGAAACCAAGCAACTGATGAATCTGAAAATCTTGTGGTATGTATAAATTGACATAATCTACACCTCTATGATATTTTAAACAATGCGGCGTTGCCGCTTGTACTAGAATGTTACAACAACTATGATTTTTCTAATGAAACACCCTGTATTCCATTGCATTTGTAAATTCTCCCTGGAGTGCTGATTTCATCAATGTATCACACTAATCTTGAGGTCTAGTGGGAACGATTATAGAGATAAAGGGTGTTCTAAATCGAGATTTTTCAACTTTAGGATTTTTTGTGTCGAAACTATACATTATTATTAGTCTAAACCGTTTCAATGTCCCTATCTTAACTTCTGATTTACTATCTCTACTGTCATTTGATTATAATAAATACATGATGGTTCATGATTCAGAATTCTGACAACCCTGTATCTGTTCCAATTAAATGTCAGTGAATACTGAATCAACAGTTCAGATGGCCGCTTCGACGAATAATGAGTTTGGACACAAAAAATCCTAAAATTGAAAAATCTCCATTTTGACCACCCTATATTTCTGTAATCATCATCACTACACCCCCAAGTATGATACATTGATGGAATCAGCTCTCCAGGGAGAATCTGAAAATGCAATAATATATACAGGACATTCCATATAAAAAATGGTAACTTTCATACATTGCGTATTTTTGGCACACCCTGGAAACATTTTACAAATGTAGAGCTAAAAGGTCTTCATTCATCCTAAAAAAAAAAACTCAAATCAAATGCTTCAGCCACAATGCTTCGTGTCGGATAACGTGAATAACCCTGTATATATACTCATTTTGGTTCGAAAGGTACATACAGAAAAGTCCACAGAAAAGGGCCCATGCAGTATCTTCTGGAATCATTTGAGATCAGATTTTGAAAATTGGTGTGCGTAGCAAGTATACCGAATTGCTCATTAATTGAAAAAACAATGTTTTTTCTATGAAGGGAAAAAAGTTTGGCGTTTCATCTCTGTTGGCAGGTTATAAAATGTCACTTTTCATAAATTACTTGAGTCAATGAGTCAATAATACCGTCTCCGGTTACGAATATTACTAAACAACCACTAAATTCGAAATTTTTTTAAATCAAATCACAGAATTAGACTGACAGAAATGACATCAGATATTTGATTATTTCAAAAGAATGATAAAGAAGCCTACAACGCAGGTGTCCCTACTGTTAAAAACTTAAAATTTCACGTCGATAATTTTCAGATTTCAAAATAATGTAATATCTTCTCAATATTGATTCGTCCCTCGATTCGTCCTTTCTTCTTTCGAGAGACAACACAACCTGGAGCTAAAATCTACTACTTTTTTCCCTTGTATAATTAATAACTATTGTTTTATCACTACCGCTGTCACCGGAAAGAACCCCATTTTTCGATTTTTAAATGAATTTTATTCCATAATCAGTCAGAGACTATTATGACGAATTCAATGATACTGGTTTTATGATCACGATCACTAAGATATTTGTAATCGTTCGAAATAACCCTCTATCAAATCCGGTATCATTGAATTCCAAAAGTTGGGGTCGTTTCCGGTGAAACCGGAAGTAATAGAACCACAATTGTTTTGTCAATTAATGAGCAATTTGGTATACTTGCTACCCACCACTTTTCAAAATCCGATCCGAACTATTCAGAAGTTACAGCACTTGCCGTTTTTTGCATTTCTCTGTATATGTATAGGTATTCTCTGTTTCTCTGTATTTGTTTCTTTTCATTTCATCTTATACATGTCGGCCGAATTCACTCGGTATATTTATCGGCCAAAGTGTACAGATCATTGTGAAATACAGGGTGGTCGAACAATATAGAGTGGTGGATCACCCTGTAGATAGTGAGAATAGTCGATAATCAGTAGATGAATAAGCTCAAAATTGAATATTGAATACAGTATTCTCAAAAAGATATGCTCATATCGAAGCAATGTTGGTGTCTGTAATGGCGATTTTTGCTTTTCACAAGACTCTGTATATCCCAGTTGTTGAATTTTCTATTTCACTTGTTAAAAATAAAAAGACATTGACTCCCTCTATGCTCCCAAAACTGTATTAGTATATAGGAATTGCAAAAGACCAAAAAAATCCCAAATGAAACATATTCCAAAAAGTATTTTTACGATATATAGAGAAATTATTTTTCCTCGCAGGTGGTATGTAACGTTGTTGTGAGTGATAGAAACCCCTTTTCGAAAGAAAAAATACGTAGGTAGTTCGTCAATGAAATTGATAAATTTTTATTATTTTATTAACGTGCCTAGCGTTTATCTAGGTTGTAATTATGTGAAATGCATTTAAAACTACAATAAAAAATTAGAAAAACTTAATTTGGATTTTATTATATAAAGTACTGGGTAAAATCTGTCTGTAAGAGGAGGTCGTACATTCATATTATGCTTGATTATTTGAGATTTTTTCTCGGACTTTTTCTCCTCGTTTCCATAAAATAAAAATATGAGTATTATTTCAATATATCAAATCAGATGATTTGCCCCAAAATGTCACTGCGTTAAAAAAATGTTTCCATGAGAGAAACAACATATCAGTCTGTCACTGAGTATCAAACTATAAAAAGACAATTTTCAAATGATAATATTCACTGACAAGCTATTGGATTTTCCTTCAAGCCTCCCTGATAGCAATTTTTTTTTCGTGAAATCCCACTGACTAGAATTTGAAATTTCTTCATGAAATAAATAATAGTTTGAAAATCTAAAAAACACGCACTCTTTCAAAGATAGTCAAACTAAAAAATAAGAAGAAAATAAAATAATTGAAGTGTGTGGATAAATACACAACATAGAATACTGCATGATTACCAATAGGTATATTTGTATATATGTAGTATATTCCATTGTCCATACCATCACTCTGTGTAATTCAGATATCATCATTATTATTATTATTAGTCATAAATATAAATACTTGTTTCGGGAATTGATAGGATCGAACGGTGACGCAACTAATTAGTCATTCGGGACTAGGTAGTGAATCGTGTCAGTCTTGTGTTAGTGTCAT